TAGAATATAATCTAGTTAGATAAGATTAGATTAGATAACGTCCTTAATCTAAAAGTTTCCAGCTTCGATCGAAAACATAATCTTATTTATAAACTAATAAACTTAACTTATTTAAGACGACATTTCTTCAGAAATATTTAGTATTTACTATAATGCCGGAATGTTTAAAGGTAGGAAAAGGGGTCAAACTTGTAAATGTCAGAAAGCCCATTTATAAAACATGGTTCAACATTAAACCCCTTTCCCTGGGATTAAACCTTGGGTTCTTGAACGTAAACACAAGATGTGTATAGTTTACTTTGATGTTAAAGACATAAATAAAGTTATAATGCAAGAATAAAGCAAAGCCTCGGCTGAAAGGGGGATAGTCCTACATTACGTAATATGTTTTTTGTTTGTTTATTTTTTTAATCCTTACACAGAGCTGTTCAAACGTATATTTGTACAAACAGATGGTTGTTTTAATTTTAATATACAGGGTATAGATACATAACAATACAGATAGAACACTAGATAGCGTCTTTTCAAGGTTTAATGGGGTTTCGTTCACAATAACCCTGAGGAAAGAGTCCAAACAAGAATTACGCGCATGTCACCTTAAATTACAAGACGGAGAGAGCGCATACGCATATAGGTCCTTTAGGCTTCTTCGTCAGGGTTATTGTGAATTAAAATTCCTAAATCTTGAAAAGATGACAATCTAGTGTTCTATCTGTTTTGTTATTAATCTATGATACAGGGTGTCGAAAGAAGCATGACAGTTAGGGAAAGGTTTAAATTTCTTCTTCAATAATTTGTTGTTTGAAACCGAAGAGAATAGTAAAAAATAAAACTATATTTGAGTAAAAGATTTTTATACGAAATAAACTGCAAAACGTCTTTAACATCTAATACAGCATACGGAAGAAGACATTCAGAACTATTCACCAACTATCATGTTTCGTGGGACACCCTGTATTTGATCTTCAACTGATTAAAAAAACACAATTTTCTTCATAAGAAGCACATACCGAATACATTTCGAGATTAAAATATTTTATTGGAAATTATGAACTGAATGTAAAGGACGATGTTTAATACCAATAACATTATGATTATAATTTCATAATTATAAATTCTATTAGGCTGATATTACGGAAACTATTTTTTTATGTAAGTGTGAACACAACAGTTTATCAAAAGTCTACGGAAAGGTTGGAAGAAAATTTTAATTGTAAAGTTTTATAACCTTCCCAGCTTTCTTAACTTTACTCTGGTATTAGAGCTAATAAATTATTTAAAGGTGGATACTAATTAAGGAGAAGATTAAGTTTGGTGGTTAAAAATGAGCTTGGAGGATAGAAGGATTGAATAAAAGATGAGGTTATAGAGGAGTTTAGAGATTAAACAAGGATGAGTTTTGAGTAAATGTCAAATTTGAGTTTAGACGGTTAATGTTAAGATTAAACCCCGTGGAATTTAGACAGTAAATGTCAAAATTAAATAAAGATGAGTTTAGAAAGTAAATGCCAAGATAAACATAGAGGAGTTTAGACAGAAAATGTCAAGATGAACATAGAGGAGTATAGGTACAGAGCTACTTATATCTCAAGCAAGAGCTATAGCTAAAGCTACAGCTTGTAGCTACAACTTTAAATAGCTTGTATAGATTACATTTTATATCTAGTATATAGCTGCATATCAATTTAGCTTGGAGCTACAAATCTTTAGCTTGGAGCTACACATCTTTAGCTTGGAGCCACACATCTTTAGTTTGGAGCCACACATCTATAGCTAGGAGCTACAAATTTATAGCTTGGAGCTACAAATTTATAGCTTGGAGCTACAAATTTATAGCAGGTGCTACAATTCAATAGCCTGGAGATACAATTCCTATAACTAGAAAGTATCCAGCTATGACTAGAAGCTACAAATCTATAGCTGGGAGCTAAACATCTATAGCTGGTAGCTACACATCTATAGCTTCAGGTAGCTACACATCTATAGCTGGGAGCTACACATCTATAGCTGGTAGCTACACATCTATAGAAAATGCCTTTAAGGACAAAATTCTGCTATTTATTTCAAGAATCTTCAAGAAGGGGAAAAGCTAGTCGACCCCCCCCCCAAAAAAAAGAGATACTTTTTCTGAAATAGATTTAAATGCTCAGATCGAATATGCAGCTCATACGTCTAATTTTAGAAGTACTTTCCCAAAGGTTTTTCCCAAGCGGCAACTTCCTTAGAGTATTTTCCCAAGTGCCAATTTCCCAACTGTTCAATTTAACAAGCTGCATTTTCCCTAGTCTGTCATAGTCGCAGCGCTTGCCCCCTAGCCTGTTCTAGCTGCAATTGTACGGCCAATAGTCCATCCTAGCCTTAGCGCTCGGCCCCCATTATAGGCTGCTCAACCTCAGAAGACCTAACCTAACCTTAGCGCTCGGCCCCCATTATAGGCTGCTCAACCTCAGTAGACCTAACATAATCTTAGCGCTCGGCCCCCATTATAGGCTGCTCCACCTCACTAGACCTAACCTAACCTTTGGGATGTTTCCACTTGGAAACTTGCACATTTGGGAAGCTCCACTTTGGAAATTATCACTTGATGAGTCACCCTCGGAAAAATGCCTTTGGAAAACCCCCAAAAATAATACATCAGCTGTGTCTGTGTCGTGAAGCGCCCTAAATATGAATATATAATCTTTAAGTACAAAGTCCTCTGTTTAAAGTTTCATCTAGGATTCAGGGTGTAAATGGAAAAGTTAATTAAAATCTTAATTTTGAATCTTTTGAAGGTGAAAACAGTACACTGTTGGAATATATGATACTTGGAATATAAATTTACTATAAAGAGACAATATTTTAACATAAACCCTTTTATTCCGCTTAGCATGGGGAGAGGGGGGGGGGCTGTATCGTTTTTTGGACATATAATTCATTAAGTGTTAATCTGAGGCTATTCAATTTTTTCTTCTCTTTTCTAATTAACACATGTCCCCTGCTTTGTGTTTATGAGTCCAAGGATTAATTTCTAATTTTTCGTGCAATTTTTTTTCTTCACACTTCATTTTTTTCTAAGTAACTGGATTTCGCTTTTAAGTATTTGGATTTTTGTAAATGTTGCAGATATGTATCAAAGTAAGCAAACAGAATGGGTCAGGACCCCCCCCCCTCCCAGTTTATTTTGGGTAGAGGAGACGTTAGTGGTTATTAGATAATCTGAGAAAAGTGAGGGAGAGATGAACCTAATCTATAAGGGACTGGTAGACGTAATGTCATGTTACACTTATTTTGAATATTTATCTCGTCTTTCCCACGTCCCACGCACATTGTCACCTTTAAACCTTTGCTTGACCATACATAATTTAGTAATGCTTTTTTTCTACAGTGGTAGGAGATAATATCAATATAATGAAGACGACTGTCGATTTCAATTCTGATTTATCTAGATTTTAAACAGCAAGGATACACAAAACATGAAAACAAATAGAAGCTGTCAATTAAAAAAGCTTCTCATTAATTACTTGTAAACTTGTAATTTGAAAAAAGCTTGTTAACAAGTAAAACTTAAATAAAAAAGTCGTCTTCATTATATTGATAAATCGCTAACCAGCGTATCTAAAGATTGATTATTTATAGTTGTGGCTCTCAAAGAACTTGGCAACCTGATGGTGGAAACCATTGATATTTCAAACTTAGAATATTTATTCTAACAGAATTCATATTTTGAAATATCTAAGGTCTACGATATCCATGGGTTGCAAAGATAAAGGTACCAGAAAATTTGAGTTTGTGGCGAAGACTCAAATCCTTTCCCGGTAGTTTTCTTTTTTCGTCTAATATAGGTTNAATTACAAAATTTACTTATATTTAATTTTCACCAGTTTTCTTATAAAAATTAAACAACTTAAAGTGTGTGTTTAAACTCTTATATATTTGTAAGTTTGTTAAATTATTCAACTTTGTTGAACTTTTTGCTTCTCTCTCTAGTTTCTATTTATTCGGAGAGCATAGTCATAAATAAATTTACAAATTACAAACAGTTAATTTTATTATTCGTTTGAAGTTCTCATGCTTCAAATATTTTTATCATTTTCCATGAATGAAACAATGCATTATATTATTAACAATATGTAGAATAATTAGATATTGACGTGAACTTATTTTATACTTATTTTACCATTTTTTCTGATCATGGCTTGAAACTCTGCAAAAGTGGATTTGAATTTTTTTTTTATAAATGAACCACAGTTTACAACGGTATTTTTTAATACTTTATCAAGAGTTACTATGAAGATGATATTCTCGTTTTTTCTGAATTTGTCTCTAAAAATCACATGAACTTTTTCATCATTTTGCTGAAATAAAGGTTTAAAGGGTACCGTTGTGAATTGAACATGTAACTCTTTTTTTAAATAGAGGGCCGGTCACATTCCGTTTAATCCAATCCCCACCTGTTGTGCTAGTTTTGTTCAAATTGGTTTTACTGTTTAGTCGAATTATTTGGAGTTTTAATGCGTTTTGAGAAAAAGGTTTTATTACAAACAAAGTTATGAGATATCGCTGGATTTTTTTGATCTGATATTTCTCACTGAAAACCAAGATGAGCATGCTCTCACGCAAAATTTGTCAAATACTTCTGTCAAATTAAATCTAGAAACAAGAGCAATGCAATTTTAAAATGTAAACAAAAAAGTACAAGTAAATTGTTGTGGTAAAGCCGCAGTCCATGGCTGTCTAAACATTGATGAATAACTTTCAGAGTTTTCTAATTGTCAACCAAAACCATCGGCAAGGGAACTAAAACATTGGTAAATTGATTGATGATCAATTGGTAAATTGATGGATCATGCTTAAATTTGATCAGCTAAATGTGCATATGTTGTATTCCTTTGTTTTACAATTATTGGTCGATTTTTTATTGATTGATTGGTTGATTGATTGATTGATTGATTGATTTGTTGATTGATTGATTTGTTGACTGATTGGTTGCTTAATTAATTGATTAATTGCTATTATTTCAGCTGTGTCCCTGTGATGGATGGTCGGGTTGGAGGACGAGGAGGTGGAGGAGGAGGAGGCGGAGGACTACGAGGTCAGGATCCTCCAGACTATATGGACAGCTCGATACTCTCAGCCGAGGACAACCTCCACAGGGAGATCTCCATTTATCCTCTTAATTCATCTTCATTCATCCTCTCAATTTATTTGCATTCATCCTCTCAATGTTTTCGCTATTTATTTTTTATTTATCGTAAACATAATTTTTGGTGACCCTCTATGTATAGATGACAATGCCTGATTTGCAACCTTGAAACCTTGAAACCTTGAAACCTTGAAACCTTAAAACCTTGAAACCTTGAAACCTTGAAACCTTGAAACCTTGACACCTTGACACCTTGAAACCTTGAAACCTTGAAACCTTGAAACCTTGAAACCTTGAAACCTTGAAATCTTGAAACCTTGACACCTTGAAACCTTGAAACCTTGAAACATTGAAACCTTGAAACCTTGAAACCTTGAAACATTGAAATATTGAAATCTTGAAACCTTGAAACCTTGAAACCTTGAAACCTTGAAACCTTGAAATCTTGAAACCTTGAAACCTTGAAACCTTGAAGCCTTGAAATCTTGAAACCTTGAAACCTTTAAATCTTGAAACCTTGAAACCTCGAAACCTTGAAACCTTGAAACCTCGAAACCTCGAAACCTTGAAACCTCGAAACCTTGAAACCTTGAAACCTCGAAACCTTGAAACCTTGAAACCTTGAAACCTTGAAACCTTTAAACTTTGAAACCTCGAAACCTTGAAAACTTGAAACCTTGAAACCTTGAAACCTTGAAACCTTGGTCTGAAAAAAAATATACAGGATCGTTTCTCCTATTTAAGAAACTGAAAGTGTAGTTTTAAGTGACCCTTCATGCAAATATGACAAAATTCGATCTTCACTTAAACCTTTTTCTGATCAATAATGAGAATAATATCGTCATATTTCAAAGTTTTAAAGTATTTAGTTATGATAGTTCAGATCTGTTTGTCCGTAGTAGAAATGTGCAAATAATTTTGTAAATAAATCACAATTAAAAATAATCGGTTTTCTAAACTCTAAACACCGTATTCACACTTGATTAGACCAAGCTTCTAAAGATACTGTTGTGAATCGGACATTGCCATCTTTGCAGTAAGTCAAATTAAGATAACGCTGACAGTCCTATTAAAAGAATGAACCAAAACATCAATTACATTTTAAACTTGATATCACAGTAGGAAATACATTAGAAATAGTTTTACATTTTGTTGCAATTTTAGAAGAGCGTTTAATTTCTGTTTAATATATCATGCTTTCAGCTAGACTGGGACTAAAATTAATGTTTTGAAACTAAATCATTTTTTACTTTCCAGAATTTCGCCAGAATTTTAATTTCTTGCATTTCAGCATTGCTTCTATAATTTTTCTTCTTGTTGTTTCCACTTTATATTTTCTCTGCAGACATTTATTATTTTTCTCTAATTTTCTGTTTTTCTTTTAAAGGAATCCAGGTTTTGCCCCATACACAATTATTCAAATCCTTATATCTTTGAAGCCTGCTATTAGTGTATGTAAATTGTAAACTTAGACGTTTTAATCTAACATAACTTATAGTTTAAAATATTAAAGGTTACCAGCGAATTTACATAGGCATAAGAAAACCAGAGTCCAATTCTTGTTCCCCCCCCTTACAATTCCCCATTTTCCCCTAGTTTTACAAATTACTCTATAATATAGGGCGGTTCAGAAAAAAATCCTTTATCCCCAAGCATATTACAGAGTCACTGCAGGGTGAGCCATGCAAATGAGTCAATGAAGATTTGTGTGTGTCTAGACCTGCAGATGAAAGAACTGAAATTATACTTGCAGCAACCTTCCTGGTTTTAGTTGTTCTCACATTTATAGCGTAAGTATTAACGTTGCATCCTTCCAACCGTTCTGATTACTGAATGATTTTAAGAATTGCAACCTCCCAGCTGTACTAATTATACAAAACTATGAGAATTGAGTCAATCTAGATTTACTTTTAGATTAATTTTCATTTTTGCGTCCAGTTGTTAAAATAAGAATTGCAACCTTCAAGTCAAATTAGTTCTATATATAGTTTAAAGATAAGAATTGCAACCTTCAAGTCGAATTAGTTATATATATATAGTTTAAGAATAAGAATTGCTACCTTCAAGTCGAATAGTTATATATAGTTTAAAGATAAGAATTGCAACCTTCAAGTCGAATTAGTTCTATATATAGTTTAAGAATTACCACCCCAAGCTCTACTAATTGAATTACTGGTGTATAATGTCTACTATCCCCAAGACAGGAATCATAAGTGAACTGGGAATTCTCCCCTCCTGGACCCCCCCCCCTTCTCACAGAATCCCCCACCCTTCTGGATCTTCCCGGAATCCCCCCCCCGCACGGACTGCATTGTTTTGTAGATACAGCTCTAATTTGGGATCCATAAATACATATATCATTGTAACCTTTGGTTCATTTTAAGCAATAGACCGACTTTTAAGCAACTAGAGCAAGATGTGCAGTACACATACTGACTATTGCAAGGAAAAGCAAGATAAATCTAATTCATTATCCCCCTCTAGCGTAATATATAATAGATTTAATCTATTCAAAAAAAATCCATTCAATGTTATTTTATTTTTATGCTAAAAATAATCTTATTTAGATTTATGATTTACAGATGTGAAAAGTCTTTCAACAGAAGAAAATCTGAGGTAGCAAGTTTATTACAGTAATATACAGGGAGAACCAGAAAACTGTGGAATAGGAAGACGACATTAAGGAAATACTTAAGTGTAATTAATGGTGTTAAAAAGAATTAGATTTACAAGGAAATTATTCCACAGTTTTTTATTCTTACTGAACAGGAATCATAGATCACAGTAATATCAGTTTTGAAACCTGGTATATCAAAGAAGTGGTCGTCTTCTTTACCTATGGAATTGTATATTTTTTAAATACATTACTTTTTTGATATATTACTATTCTAATATAATCTACTCTTTCCTATTTTATTCTATTCTATTCTATTCTATGCTATTCTATTCTATCTGTTCCAGAGACTACCCTCCTCCTATAGTACAGTATCCATTCAAACTGAGCCCAATATCTCCTGTAACGGCGGTACAACACTTATGAACGGCGGTTCCACTGCTCTGAACGGCGGTATTCATACAATATCTAACGGAGCAATCTCTACTCTACCCCGGTACATGAATGGTGGTAATCACTTACCCCGGGATCTGGGAGATATAGAGGAACAAGTTCAGGTACTTAAGCACGGACCCTTTTACCGGTAACTCGTTTCTTAAACAGTTCCATCCCTAAATTATTGTTTTGCTAACGTAACAAGTAAAAGAATGTGAAAGAATGTAGGTAAGAATTTTAAAGCAAAAGTCAATAAAGTGCCGAAATTGTCCTAAAGCCTTTAAGGTATAAAAGTTTTTTAATACGAAGAAATTCGATAATACTATGATTATTGCAAGAACTTTTTCCTCAGCAAAAGTTTACTGGAGCGCACATTAATCAACAATATTTAGTTTACGTAGATACATATTACACTCCTGTATGCCGAGTCCATTAGGACTCAGAATTTTCTTTTCTCATACTTGCGGATAAAATCAAAACTAGAGGGGTTATGAGGTCACAAAGTCGTACTAATGATATAGAATAATTTTTACCTTCTTCTTCTGTCTAGTTCGTAAAATTTAAACTTTTGACATCAGATCATTTTTAACTTTTTTTTTCATTAAAGGGACAAAAGACGTAATTTCATTATTTTTTTATTATTTTCCAAAAGGTTAAAGGAACTAGCTATCCACATTTTTCTACTAATGATGTAAAGACGACAATGCCAGATTCACAACGCTATCCTTAAAAGCTTTGTCTGATCAAGAATGAATTAGATATCAATGTTTATAATTTTCAAAACTATAATCATTTTTATTTGTGGTTTCTATACAAAAATAACAATTGCGCATATCTACTGTAGGAAAACGAATGACAAAATACACACTTTCAAACTTCCACATTATTGATGAGACAAAGGTTATAAAGGTACTGTTGTTCATTGGGCAATGTCATCTTGCAAAATGGGTCAATTGAGATTATTTTAACCTTTTTTTATTTTCTTCTTCATCCGCCATTTTTTTTGACAATTCTGCTCTTTATAAACTTTAGTTTAATGATTTGATTTGATTTTTCTATTTCATCCTTACGGTTTCTTATGTTCATTATGTCTAATAACCATTTTCTCAGGATTACCGAATGGATATGGATGGCAGTGTATACAGGTCTAGAAGTTCAAAGGATATGGCCAGGGTATGCAATCATTTATAGAAACATTTGTTTTAAAGAAAGCTAACTAAAACAACACATATCTGGCCAGACCTGTGTTGAAATAAACTATTAATACATTTTTCCTATTTTCCTATCTCTAAATATGTGCAACCCAATGTCAGTTGAAATCAAAGGTTTACACCACCAGGTTGCAGAGATATAAGGATTAGCAAATTTGAGTTGGTGGCAAGAACTCAGTTAACTTATAGGAAGCCATTGTGTTCTATATTTGGACTTATAAAAAGCATTTGGCTCTGTGACATTTTACAAAAAAAACACTCGAAACCTCGCAATTTGATTTCCCATAATAACATAGTAAACAACTTATAATTTGGAGCGTATATTTGTCAGCAATATATCATATTTATGTCTAAAACAGACACCGCAAATTATCCGACATCCTTTCTTGAACACTCTTTCGTTTATTGGTAGTTTTTCTTCAGTCTGTTTAAGCTAAATACCTTATAGTTGGTGTTTATCGTTCTGTTTACAAATATTCTTGTTAATTCTAAGGTCAGAACTTTTAAATAAGACACTCTAAAATGTTTGAACTAATCTAAATAAAAAGCTAGAAACTAGAATTACTTAAAAGTGAATAAGTTTCAAGGTGAGGGGGTCAAAATTGAGGTTTAAAGGCTAAATCCTGAAAAGTAGTAAATTATAGTAAGATGCCCGAACTTTTGAAATAGCCAAAGGAATCTAAACTTAATCAGTCCAATCAGAAAATATAGGGATTAGGACTTTTTAAAGGGGAATTTTAGCAAATAAAAGTGCCGAACTTTACTGAAAGATAAAAACCAATTCGACATTTGTATGACCACCAAAGACTTGTGCTGAGAACCCAAACTAAAACTTTCAATAACTTGCATCTTAAAAATGCTTCGGGGCTCTAGTGAAAATTCGAGCGTATTAATGTTGCTTTTTAAGCCGCCTTTTTTTCCTCTTGTAAAACTCAAAATTTTCCGGATTTTTCATATTAACATATTGATAGATTTCGTATATTGCCACAACACATTTGGCCCGAATCGCTTTAACCGTTTCGACGTTTATCGGACACAAATAAACAGACGGACAAGCTGTTGTTATATATGTAGCTGAAACATTTATGGAATTGTTAATCTATTTGAATATAAACAAAAAAGAATTCAATAATAAACCATATCTTGTAGATTAGCATTTCTAGATTTTTTATTTTATAGTCAAGGGAGAGCCTGGAGGATCCACATCAGTATAGACTCAAGTGTGAAGAAATACTATCCCCTGATTCTCCTTCTAGAGACCCTATGGGACATCTGTAAATATCAGGGGAGGACATGCCACACACAGTAAACATGCCAGAACTGATTATCCTTCTAGAGACCCTATGGGACATCTGTAAATATCAGGGGAGGACATGCCACACACGGTAAACATGCCAGAACTGATTCTCCTGCAAGAGACACAATATGGCATCTATAAATATCAGGGGAGGACATGCCACACACAGTAAAAATGCCAGAACTGATTCTCCTGCATGAGACACAATGGGACATCTATATATATCAGGGGAGGACATGCCACACACAGTAAACATGCAAGAACTGCTTCTCCGTCTAGAGACACAATGGGATCGACGTCTGTAAATATCAGGAGAGGACATGCCACACACAGTAAGCATGCAAGAGCTGATTCTTCGTCTTCAGACACAATGGGACATTATAAATATCAGGAAAAAAACGGTCAATAAGCAAGAAATTATATCTGTATAATTGTGAATTAAAAGAAATCCGAAAAGGCAAATATGAGTTTGAGTATTTTTGAATTTTTTCAAAAATCGGTGTTTTCGAATAAAATAAAAAGAAACAGGACCCTATATCTCTGACTCCCCAAACAAAGCAAGAAACAATTTAAAACCCACCTAAAGTAAGAAAATTTATGCTTTTTACCCTAAACTGGTTGTGATTGAATACAACATACAGCCTCTAATATGTAGCATAAATACATCTCTAATTGAACAATGACCATACATTACATATAGTATATGACAAAGTCGTTCATTGCACATGCTAAAACGGATTCCTTTCATTAAGCATACAATTTGTAGGGTAAATAGTTATCTTAAAATGTTTTTATTCAAAAGGTCCTAAAGATTCTTAGGTACCTAACAATCTTGCTGGAGATAAGGGTTCTTTATAGACCCAAAAATTCCTTTATTTTATGGGGCCCTAGAAATCCCTAATTGGACCACAAAACACTTCCTGGTATAACAGGGCCCCTAATTGATATTCAAGCAAATTCGATTCTTTCAACTTAAAACTGATTAACAAAAAAGGATGAAGGGTGAAAATATGTGTTTTATTAAAAAAATTGAAAATAAATTTCTGACATGATTTTTAAAATCTTTGTACCTGTCTCTTTTAGTAGAAGCTGAAAGGGACTGTACACGTAATTTTAGGTGATCACTGACTATCCCTATAAAGGATATGCATGCATAATTCACAACGGTACCCTTTAAATCTTTATCTGAGAAACAATAAGAAAGATATCATTGATTTCAATCTTAAATCCGCATGTCACATGCACAGAGAAACCACGCTTGGAAATTATCAAAGACGGGGGGAACCCTTGTGAATGGGAAAGTCCTTTATTAAATGGAGATTCAATAGAAATTACGTTGACAGTTCCTTTAAGCATCAACCATTTGATAATCTTTGAAAATAAACCTTTTTTCATTTGTTAAATCGGAAAATATTTGTGCATTTTCTTTCTTCATTTTGGTTTGTAAGACAGGAAAATGTAATATTTTTTGTTGGTTTTTATCCACCATTTGTTTTTTATGTTTTTCTGAAAAATGTGGGTTTCTTTGAATTCTACAATTTATTGTTTTTCCTGTTTTACGTTTGCAATTGTATTTTTTAAAATAACAAGCTGTTAGGCCTCATTTAATATAATAAAAATTTAGAGGAGCTCTTAATTTTCTGTTCGTAATATCTAACCACCGATAGCATTTAAAAATTACGAATATTTTGATCGAAATTATGATAGGACTGTTAGGAATATCCCACACATTTTATAACAAAATGTTCATAATGCTCTCGTTAAGGTTGATATTACGAACATAATGATAGTCTTTCTTCTTTCAGTTTATCAAAATTCAAAACTATTTTTATTTGAGGAATATCATAGTTTTAATCTAATATTTAAAGGGACTGGTAGCGTATTTAAGTTACCTTCAATGCCCAACTTACAGCGGTATCCTTTACACTTGTGACTGTTCAACGGGTATGGAGACCTCCGTGTAAAAATCTAATGAATAGCGGTTGAATTAAAGTAAAACCTGGTAGGCTGTTTACAGTATAAAATTAACACGGCTGATCCGTTGTGTCTCTGTAAAGGAATTGAGTCTTTGTCACAAACTCTGATTTTCTAATCACTATATCTTTGGAACCAAATGTTGCATACCTTAGATATTTCAAACTATGAATTCTGTTAGATCAAATCATCTGAGTTTGAAATATCAAAGGTTTACAACATCGAGTTCTAAAGATATTGTGGTTTAAATATTTGATTTTGTTCCAAAGACTAAATTCCTTAACGAATATTTTACGGTAAAAGCGAGTTTTAAAAATTTTCTGCCACGCCTGGAAAGAAATCAATATTTTTAAAATATAAAATATAATATAAAAAGCGTATCTGTAGAACAAATGTATCAGTCAAAGGTTTAAAAGGCACTGTTGAATAATCAGACACAAATGTAGGGTCACTTAAAATTACGCATACAGTCCTTTTAACTTAAACTATTCGTAAATTAATTTCTTTAACCTTGTATATAAATATATATGACAAATTTAACCATTTTGTTAATATTACATGTTGACAAATATATTCATCATCTTTTATATATGTGTATCATATGTATAAATATTTGCATTATATCATTTTATTGATAAATATTTGCATTATATTGATAAATATATGTATCATGATTTTCTTGAAATATGGTTAAATTTGAAAATCTTGTAAAATGTTCTGGGTATGAATGTGTGCTGACATTTTACAGTTTACAATCATCTGCATTGACTATAAATACTTCAATTAGCGAACTATACATTAAACTTTGCTTTGAACCTCATCTGTAAATATCAGGGGAGGACATGCCACACACAGTAAACATGCCAGAACTGATTATCCTTCTAGAGACCCTATGGGACATCTGTAAATATCAACCTTCTGAGCTGAAAACTTTAGAATGGGATGCCCTTAATTTTGATCGGTTAATTAATCTGGAGATTAATAACAAGAGGAGAACAAGCATTATTTACTCTCGGGATTAAGAAAAAGAGTGGATCAAGCATTAATCCCGATATCCACCATTCAAAAGTTCCCAGCTCTAGTTATATTATTTCCGAGTAGTCAAATACATGATATTATCTATGCATCATATACCTTTGTTGTAAGATGTATATAACTATCTGAAGTGCCCGGGGTAGCGCGAGGAATAAAAAATACAATTTTGAAAAAAAATCTTTACCCAATGTTACCCCTCGGGTACCGGTACCCATGGGTTTCCTCAAAATGTCAGCCCATTCGGTTCAAAATAAGCCTGTCAGCCCATTCGGTTCAAAATAAGCCTGTCAGCCCATTCGGTTTAAAATAAGCCTGTCAGCCCATTCGGTTTAAAATAGGCCTGTCAGCCCATTCGGTTCAAAATAAGCCTGTCAGCCCATTCGGTTCAAAATAAGCCTGTCAGCCCATTATATTCGGTTCAAAATAAGCCTGTCAGACCGATATATTCGGTTCAAAATAAGCCTGTCAGACCGTTATATTCGGTTCAAAATAAGCCCGTCAGACCGTTATATTCAAACAGGTTGAGGTCGTCTCTTAAGTCTCATCCTGTGTGGGTAACCAGCTCTACCTTCATGGCATGCTATGTGGGTAACCAGCTGTACCTTCATTGCATGCTGTGTGGGTAACCAGCTGTACCTTCATGGCTTGCTATGTGGGTAACCAGCTGTACCTTCATTGCATGCTATGTGGGTAACTAGCTGTACCTTCATGGCATGCTATGGATGACAAATAAAAGAAATCTTATTTTTTGTTGTTGTATTTTTTACACCAATTTTAGGGTGGGGAGAAATCTATTTAAAAGGACTGTTCTTTATTGCAAGCAATCCACATGCAGCAGTCGGGGAAGAAATCCCCATCATTGGAGTACTGTCGGAGACCACAATGCAGCAGTCTCATCGGAGACCAACAGAATTTTATCGGAGAACGTGATTTTTTCATCGGAGACCCCAAATTTCATGGGAGACCCCCAGATTTTCATTGGAAACTTCAAGATTTTCATCGGAGACCCCAAAGCATTGCATTGAAGACCCCAAAACTTTTCACTAAGACCCGAAATGGGGATCACTGAAAACACGGCAATGGTGGTCTCCAATGAAAAGGGGTTTCCGACAGTGCTACAATGATGACAATTTCTTCACAACCTTATTCTGATTGATTATGTGAACTGTGTGGAAAATATAGCTTCTAACAATTTCATTCTTTTTTTCTTTAGCATACATTTGCAAGTCACTTTACATATAAACGCGATCAAAAAAAATCAACTTTCAAAGATAAAATATTAAGTCGAGATCAGAAAAAAAAATGCTATGGATAACTTTATGAATGGGACATGCGAAAAGTAAAATGTTTATTTCCGATTTTAAAAATGAAAATAAACTTTTACTCTTAACCCTATCTTTCCCTGATTTTAAGCTTAGTTAATTCCCAGATTATTCCGCTAATAATAATCAGACTAATATTGTTGTAATCAGTGAAGCACTGATTACAGCACTCAATAGTTTCTATAGATTAGGAGATAATAAAAGGGATATATATATTTGTATATGTATAAAAGAGAGAAAAAATCACGTTATTTCTGTCTTTTGTTTGACGTGCACGATTCAAACCGGTTTGAATTATTATCAATTTATAGATTTATGCAGCAAAGCCAATGACATAATTTAAATGTTTTAGAGGAAAAAAAAACAAATTAAAATATCTATACTCAATTGTTATTTGAGATAAAATAGACAGAATGTTAGCATTGTCAATTATTTAAACTCTTTTTAAAATGTCACTGAATGCCTTCTTTTTATGATTAAAATACTCTTAAAGAGCGTTTACGGAAAAACCTGAAAGTTTTTTACATCAAACTTTGATTGTTCTAAAATGTAAGCCTAGTAAAAAGACTTATAATATTTGTATTCATATCTAATATTTGATCCAGCCAACCTTCAGGATTATTTGTATATATTTATTGATGACAATCCAGGGGAAGAAAGTTCCAAAGCTTCTAGTGAATCAATCCAGGGGAAGAAAGTTCCAAAGCCCCTTGTGACCAACTCCTGACATTTAACATAAATAACTTTTTTCCACTCTTTCACGAGCAAAACGTACAGCCCCACTCTACAGAAATAAAATAATTACATTTAACATTTTTATTCATAATTGTTTTGCTTCCAAACTATAAGCTAGTCAGTTTGTTTTATGTTTTTAAAGCTTAAACTATCTATATAATAAAACAAGACATTCGTTTTTATATATGTTGTCTATAGCTGGCCAAACGGCTGGACCTATTGGGCTGAAATTTTTTTGTGGACACTACTGGGTGGCCAGGGGGTGTTGTAGGATAAAAAATGGAATTTTTTTTCAAAATTTTTTTTCAATTTTTTTTTCATGGGCCCTTCAGCTAGTATACTATAAAATCTCAATATTTTTTAGGAAATCAAAGAGCCCTTTTCTCTTTTAAGTAAAAAAGTTACAACTTCTGTGATGCTGGCTGGGCAATATCCCCTAATTTTTAAAAAATTTTAAACTAAAAGAAATTGACAAATTATAAAATTTTTCTTTTTCTTTTTTGTTCCTTGTATGGAATGTAAAGAACATGCTGCCTACTTTACTATTGATCTTTTAAACTATAGAGGGGATATATTTCAGACCTTTGACAAATTAAACAGAAGTGTTTTATGTCAGTTATTGAACAAACAAATCCTATAAATATATTTACAGATTTTAAAAAATCAGCTTCAAATTTAAACTTTTTAAAATATTTTATATATACGTACATAAATATATTCTTTTCTTTAAACATGAAAAGACTGGCGATCTGGTGATAAGAAGAAGGAAGGAGGAGGTACTTTACCACTGCACCCCTTCCCGGCCCCTTCTTTTCTGGAGGATTTAGTAAAAATTTGGTTCTGATGGACTAAACCATGTTTCTTCTTCACTTTTTCAATGCCAGTTAATTTAAACAAACAATTTTATATTCAAGTGTTCGAAACTTTGAGAGGTTTAGACACTATTTAAAAAAAAAATTATGTGGTGGGATGTAAAAAAGTTCATTTTTTATTTGGACAAATATTTACAAATGAAAAAAGTTTCTGATAGTTTTAAGAAGACGACATTTTGTTTTTAACTTAATTCTCACGTTTATAATTCAGTAAAAAAGTTTTATTTTTTTTATTTTTTAAAAGAATTAATTTGGTCAATCTATTTGCTCTCAGTAAACATTTAATATTAATTATATTAATTATTAGTTCTTTACACTAATATTCATCTGTCCAAAACATCGAATTTTTAGAGAATATTAAAGATTGTTTTATTTCAAAGAAATAGAAAAATGTGTGCTGATGCTGCGTTACTGAGGAATTTTTAAATATCGTCAAACGGTTGGTATAGAAAACGTCTTCTTGCGT